ATCCATGCCCTGGGGTTCTGACTGGGCTGATAGCACTGAGTAAAAACAAAGTTTTTTAAAAGGAGAAAAAAAAAAAAAACAAAACCCCAAAGAACCAACTCTTCAATATAGCTTCAGTTTTCACACACCCCATCTGTTGTATTCACTGAGTTCTTGGTTGGGAAATGAATATACTATCCTTGTATGTGTATTCCCACCTCTGAGCTTCTGCCATCACCACTGTGTAACTTCTTAACAAAGCCCTTCAGCTTCTGAGGCAAAAGTGATTTGTTATTAAATGTAAAAGGCAAGGGTTGAAAACTAACTCCTAATTCCTCATGTTAGATAAAATGTAATATTATTTGAAAATGAAAAGCAAAATGAATATATTCTTCAACTCTGCAATTATACTTCTAGGAATTAACTATGTTACAAAATGGGATAAGATCATAAAGATTCATGTATAAAAATGTTCACTGAAGGCTTAGTTATAATAGCAAAAACTATGATCAAACTGAATGTCCATAAGTAGAAAATTATTTAAATAAGTTAAAATACATTCCTATAATAAACTATAATGTAAACATAGTTAGTTGGCATGCCTATATTTCCATAATACATTTTATGTGTTCACATCTATGCACAAAAAAGTTTAGAAAATTCTGCATCAAAATGTTAAGAGCAGATATCTCTGTGTCTCTTCAGCATTGCAGATGATGTTAATTTTCTCTGTCCTTTTTCTGTCTTTTCTAAGTTTTTATATTGTGAATGTTTTATGTTTATGATCAAAACACCCTTAAAGTCTTTTGAATTTGGGAAAAAAAGAGAATTACTAAGTTTTATATTTGTTTCCTTATAAGTTCAGTACACAACTTTCAAACTGATTTTAAAAATCTAATTAAGAATTGTACTACTGATAATAACCCACATAAAATTTGCTCTTGGTTTCAGGCAAGTGCAACTCACAAAGGAGGCTTCTCCTCTCTCCCCAGATTACAGAAGAAATACTTAAGCATTACCAAAAAACCTTAGAAAATACTCAGTTTCCAAAAATAATATAAAGATCACCAGGCACCTCACTACTAGAATTTGGATGTACTTTTACATCCATTTCAATCCACAAAGTTCACTACATGACAGGCATAATTCTCTTAAAGTACTAGAAATATAGCATTCAGTAAAGCAGTCTAAATTTCTGTCCTCACAGAGATTACAGTCAGTAGGAGACCAATAGTAAACACATAAATCAATAAATGAATAAGAGTATTTCTGACAGTCATAAATATTACTTAAAATAAAACAGACAATTGGAATAGAGATGTTTGAAGAAAGACAACTTTAACTAGGGTGGTCAAGAAAGATCTTTCTGAGGAGGAGATATCTGAAACTGAGACCCAAATCACAGGAGGAGGCAGCTACTTGTTCTGGGAGACCCTTGGCCAATTTTCTCTTCATGAACCGGAAGCGGCTCCCTCTTTCCCTATATCATACACTCATGGCCACGGATCAGGTTCAGGGAGAACAAAGTGAGTGAGGCCTTCTGAGGAAGGATACTATTCCTCCACACTGCAGGGCTGTCAGTGCCCCCTTGCTTGTTCTTTCCTTTCCTAGGGTTGTGACATATTGCTCATATTGCTCATCTATGTGGTTTAATCAAAATAACAGTCATAAAATGGACAATCAGCTTAAAAGTTTCCCAAAAGGAGAACGTGGATTATGGGAAATATTAATAATACAACACAAATGAAAACAAATACGGGTAGAGTTGATGCCTCTCCTATTCTAGTATAACTAAGTTCATCATTGTGAATATCATGAAGTAAGTATTCTATAATAAGATGTGAAAAGAGACTCAAAATTGAGAAAATCATTCAGAAGACTATTTGAAATGTGTAGCAATATCTTTTATACATAACCCATTATAATGACTAAGATTAAAGAGTATGGCAATACTAAGTGTTGAGAAGGATATGGAGCAATTAAAGCTCTTGTACATTGCTGGCAGAGATACAAAAGGAACAACCACTTTGGAAAACTGTTGGGTAGTTTTTTAAAAAGTTAATTATACTCTACCATAAATCCAGATACTCTATGCCCAGGTATTTGCCAAAAAGAAGCAAAAACATATATACACAAAAAGACATATATGAATGTTCAATAATAAAAATAATATATAGACTATATTTATATGATGAAAGACAATTATGTAAAATATATCAATATTAACTGTAGCAGAGAAAAAACTTCCTTGACCCAGATATGCAGATTCTAGGAGTTGAAAGTCAGTAGGAAAACACAGATAATCCAAAACATATGGGCAGCACACTGACAGTGTCTGCTACAGTTAACAATATAGATATACTTTACATGGTCATTTATTATAATACTCCCTTATTTTCCTAGTTTTAATTCTTAAAATTAATTTTCAAAATTTAAAGGGCATTGTACATTATGCAAATGCATTTCTGAAGCCATAAGACATACATATATGAAAATTCTTAATAATTGAAATTGAAGTTTTATGGTTAAAAATGATTTTTTCCAACACATAGCTGTGGAAAATTTAAAATATACAGAAAAGTTAAAAGAATTATGCAGAGAATAAAAATAGACACACTACCTAGATTCTATAATTAATATTTTACTATATGTCTTATAACATAACTATATATACCTATCAAACACATTATCCATCCACCCATCTTATTTTTAATGAACATTAAGATAAGTTGCAGACATAAGATACTTCTAAACTCTTCAGCATACAGACATTAATTAGAGTTTAATATTTGTATAGCGCATCCAGCAAATTTTAATTTCAGATATATTTTTTCAATTCTTGAATTTCTCATTTTTAGAGTTTCTCACTGATTTTTTTGTCTTTTTATTCATTTCTTAACATACTTTATATCTGGTCAGCTAATTATATCATCTGAGTCAACTTAGGACTGGTTTCTACTGACTGTCTAACCTTTTGAGTATGCCTCATCTTGAACACTGTAGATGTTATATTATAGAGACTCTGAATTCTGTTATGTTCCTTCAAAGAGTACTGATTTTTTGGTCTCGTTTTAACAAGCAGTTGATTTGGTTGAACTCAAACTATTAAAACTCTTTCCCCTGGTGTAGGTGGGAGCTAAAATATAAATTATTTTAGTTTTAGATGAGTTGCTTAGTCTTCCTTGTACATATGTGTTTCAGGGATAAACAAGAGATCTGAAACAGTTTACAAGCAAAATCTGAGCTCTGCCTCTCTGGGTATTGTTTTTCTGGGCTATCCCTCACTTCTCAACCTGCTGGACTCAGGCAATCCTTCTGCTTCACCCTTCCAAGTAGCTGAAACTACAGATGTGTGCCACCACACCCAGCTAATTTTTTGTAGAGATAAGGTCTCACCATGTTGCCCAGGTTGATCTTGAACCTGTGAACTCAGGCTGATCCCCCTGCCTCCACCTCCCAAAGTGCTGGGATTACAGGTATGACCCACCATACCTGGCTTGTTTTTTTGTTTTGTTTTGCTTTTTAATGGTCTTTTTTTTTTTTTTTAAAGAGCAGTTTTAGGATCACAGGAAAATTGAGTGGAAAATACAGAGAATTCTCATATGCCCCCAACCCCACACAGGCATAACCTTCCCTGCTATTGACACCCTGCACCAGAGTGATGCATTTATTAAAAACTGATGAATCAACAATAACATATTATTGTCACCCAATATGCATAGTTTACATTAGGGTTTACTCTTGGTGTTGTACATTCTATGACCCTTGACAAATGTATAATGACATGTATTCATCATTGTCATACAGGATATCATACAGGATAGTTTCACTGCCCTAAGAATCTTCCATGCTCCATCTAATCATCCTTCCTGGCTTGGAATTCCTGGTCTTTTTTACTGTTCCATAGTTTTTGTCTTTTTCAGAATGTCATATAGTTGGAATAACACAGTATATAACCTTTTCAGATTGGCATATTGTACTTAGCAATATGCCTTAATTTTTTTTTTTTTGAGTTGGAGTCTTACTAGGTGTCCAGGCTGGAGTGCAGTGGCATACTTATAGCCACCCCAGTGTCGCGCTGGGCTCTGGCAATCCTTTCCACCTCAGCCTTCCAAGTAGCAGGAACTAGTGGCATACACTACTACAGCGGCTAATTTTTTGATTTATTGTAGAGACAAGGTCTTGCCAAGTTGCCCGGCTGGTCTCGAACCCAAGGGCTCAGGCAATCCACTCGCCTCAGCCTCCCAAAGTGCTGGGATTACAGGGTGAGCCACTGAGCCTGGTCCTTATTTTAATTTTTGGCATTCCCTCCGTTATGTGTATAGTTTTGGTAACTCTCCAATGTGTTTAGGTAGTTATATTGTCCAAAATGTTATAGTTGTTATCTGTGGAAAGGCTGATGTAATATGAGCTACTCAGCCGTAAGAGAAGAAAAGTGTTGAAAATACAAATTGGGGGCTGGGCTTGGTGGCTCAGCCTGTAATCCCATGCTTTGGGAGGCCGAGGTGAGTGAATTGCCTGAGCCTGTGGGTTCGAGATCCGCCTGGGCAACTTGGCGAGACCTCATCTCTACAGGAAATTAAAAAAAATTAGCCAGGTGTGGTAGCACACGCCTGTAGTTCCAGCTACTTGGAAGGCTGAGGCGGAAGGATCGCCGGAGCCCAGCAGGTTGAGGCTGTGGTGGCCGGGAGCGGCCACTGCACTCCAGTTTGGGCGACAGAGTGAGACTCCAACTCAAAAAAAAAAATTTTAAAATTAGAAATAAAATAAAAATTGATGAATTTAACAGTAATAACAGACTTTTGGCCATAGCTCAAGATAGATGTATCAGAGCTTATCTTAAATAAGTCTACAATTATTAAGTTTCAGAGCTGGGATGGATCTTAATGGTCATCTATCTACCAACTGATCACAAAGTTAAACCCAATTCCTAGCACATAAAATAAAATATCATTATTTATTACTTATGATGTACCATTTACCAAAAAGGAACATTTATATTATAAATATATGCAACAAACCTGTCAAGGCAGTTTCACTTATAGATTTAATTTGTAGAAAAACTTCTCCTTTCAGTGAAGTCCAGTTTTGAAAATTATCATATACTTCATTTTTAATACTGGTTAGCTCCCTCTTAGTAAAAGTAAGTAATGAAAGAGTCTTATTCCAGAAATGTTTGTACTCTGACAATCTCTGACTGCAAAGTAGTAAAAAAAATAAATAAATAAGGTTTTTAAAAATAGTAAACATAATAACAAATATTTCTTCAAAAATGGTTTTAGAATGACCATATAATCTACTGTTTAATTGGAAGGAATTTTGAAAGTTAATAAATAAAATGCTATTCATTTTATGCTGAGACAACATATAAACTGGGAATATCTAAGGTAGACAAAAGTATATGGTCACTATAGGCCTTTGCCATTTTGCTACTATATTAAACACAAAGAAACATAGTCAACTATAACCATATACATTTATTCTATCAATCTTTGTTTATTAATTGGACAGTAAACATTTAGTGAAGAAAATTAGGTCAGAGCAATTTAGTCACAGAGCCTAAATGAGAACCTTAGATTCTTAGACAGCAAAACACACACCATGGTTCTAAAGGCTCTGTAAAACCTGGAGTAATAACAAACAAAACCACTGAGATGGGAGGATCACCTGAAGTCAGGAGTTCAAGACCAGCCTGGGCAACACAGCAAGACTCTGTCTCTACAAAAAATAAAATTAGCCAGACATGGTGGCATGCACCTGTTGTCCTAGCTACGAGGGAGGCTGAGGCCAGATGATCATCTGAACCCAGGAGTTGGAGGTTACAGTGAACTATGATCACACCACTGCATTCTAGCCTGAGTGACAGAGCAAGGCCCTGTTTCAAAAACAGGGGTAAGGAAGGGCAAAATATTTGAATAGGTAATTCACCAAATAAGATGTTTAAATGGTTAATAAGAACATGAAAAGATGTGCAGCATCATTAATCATTTGGGAAACACAAATCAAAGCCACAATGAGATACTATTTCACACCTACTAGAATAATTACAATGAAAAAAGATAGACAATAAGTGTTGACAAAAAAGTGTATTTATAAGTTTCTTCAAAAATGTAAACTACTGAAAATGACATGTAAAATGTGAATAATGAGAATCAACTGTATCAGTCCCATAATATCCCGAATCAGCAGTAATTATTTGATCTAGTCCCAATTTAATCTTCAACATTTAATCAATCCTACCATTCATGATGGCATTTGTGGATAATATAGATGGGATTTCCTTAGCAGATGTGGGCCAAAGCTATTGCAGAAGCCAAGAATGGATACTAGTGGTCCTGATTAAAGTAGAAGAGTTGGGGGGTCATCCGGGTGGTAATAACCTGTTAATTCAATACCAGATTTCCAGAAAAGTGCCAAAGGGATTTCTGATGACAAAAACGGCCATCTATTTTGTGAACAGATTTAATTCATTCACTCAAAAAGTATTTATTGAGTATCAGTTATATACAAGGCATTTGTGAAAGGTAGATGGTCAATAGCTTATTACCAGATAATGTATAAATGATTATGATCCCAGATAATTTTTTTCAGAACATTTCTGGTAATAATTAGTCAATTGAAAACAAAAACCTATCACCCAAAATACCTACATCATATTTTTTTAGTCAGATATTTCTAAATTTAAGAGTCTATTATTATCCTTTGGAAAGTTTCTTTATTCTACTACTTTTCATGTCACCAGATTATCACTGAGGGGATCAAATACACCAATACTGGTGAACAGGAAAATGAATTAGTTACTACACTTTCATTCTAAATGTCACTACAAAATAAGAAGAAGAACAAGATGTGAACAGAACAAGGTGTTTTGCCCAATTTAAATTTTATTAGTAAAACTATTCAGTTGAGATAATGTTTAAAAAAAAAAAAAAAAAAATGAGCCGGGCTCGGTGGCTAAGCCTGTAATCCCACGCCTTTGGGAGGCTGAGGTGAGTGGATTGTCTGAGCCCGCGGGATCAAGACCCGCCTGGGCAACTTGGCAAGACCTCATCTCTACAATAAATCAAAAAATTAGCCAGGCGTGGTAGTGCGTGCCTGTCGTTCCAGCTCCTTGGAAGGCTGAGGCGGAAGGATCGCTGGAGCCCAGCAGGTCGAGGCTGTGGTGGCCGGGAACGGCCACTGCACTCCAGTCTGGGTGACAGAGTGAGACTCCAACTCAAAAAAATAAAGAAAGAAAGAAAAAAAAAAAGAAAATGTAATGCCACTTCCACTTTTCTCAATCACACCAGATATTTTAATAAAATGTGTTTAATAAAATGTGTTTGAATATTTATAAAGTTAGTATATTAAATGTATCTTTTCAACCTTTATAATTTTCAATTCTTTAAAGAAAATCTTACCTAAAGACTTGTGATTGTCTATGTTTAATTTTCAACTCATGCTGCAAATGACTCAATTCTTTCTGCATTCCCTGAAATTGACTTTGTTGACTTTTTAACTGTATGTTTGCATCTTGAATTCTGAAAATATAAACAAACAACATCCAATATAAACTTAAAAATTCTCTCAGAAGTACTATTTTTAAATTAAAATGTAAATATACCTTTAATAAAATTAAGTAGAAGACTAAAACTGTCTCTTATATATGCTATATGAATGTATAGAAAATATATGGAGAGATACACACCAAACCCTAGGGAGGAGGGTAAAATTTACAGGCAGGAAAAAAGGTAAAGAATATTAAAGAGAGGTAGAAGTATTACTCTATATTATTTTGTATTATGGAATTTTTTATAATGAACATGTATATATAAATATTAATTACAATGCAACTAAAATATTAATTTAATTTTGATTAAAGTAACTCAATATATATTATATTATATTATTTATTTATTTATTTTGAGTCAGAGTCTCACTCTGTTGCCAGGCTGAAGTGCAGTGGCACAATCATGGCTCACCGCAGCCTTGACCGCCTGGGCTCAGGCAATCCTTCCTCCTCAGTCTCCTTAGTAGCTAGGACTATAGGCATGCACCACCATACCTGGTTTATTAAAAAAAAATTTTTTTTTATAGAGACAAGGTTTTGCTATGTTGCCCAGGCTGGTCTTGGCTTCGAATAATCCTTCCACCTCAGCCTCCCAAAGTACTGGGATTACAGGCATGAGCCATTGTGTGCAGCCTAATTCATAATTTAAAAAGTTAATTATTATTACTCTTAGTCCATCTTGGGTTGTTATAACAGAAACACTGAGGTTAGGCACTTTATAAAGGAAAAAGATTTTGCTCATGATTCTGGTGGCTAGAAAGTTCAAGATTAGGCATCTGCATCTGGTGAGGGCTTCAGGCTTCTTCCACTCATGGCAGAAAGCAGAAGGTGTGAAGGCATGTACAAAGAGATCACATGGTTCGAGTACAAGCAAGAGAGAGAAACTGAGAACAGGACGCAATTTAACTGTCTGCTCTTTTGGGAGCTAATTCATTCCCACAAGAACAAAAAGTCATTCGCCCTGGAGGGAGGGCATTAATTTATTCATGAGGGATCTGCCCCCATGACCCAAACACCTCCCATTTGACCTCACCTCTCAACACTGCTGCACTGGGAATCAGATTTCAACATGAATTTTGGCAGAGACAAACCACATCCAAACCACAATTATTAAAAGGGTTATAAGAAAAAAACAGTTGGGAAACTGCCAGAGGTGTGTGTGTGTGTGGTTTTGGCAGAAGGGGTAAACTGCCAGGGGAGGGGGGCACACCTCCTCAACAAGGGTACCTGCATAATGAACATTTGAATACCTAACCCTGAATTGTACCCCACATCTTTAAAATAAAAAGTTAACAAAAAAGAAAAAAATAGTAATAATTTACCTTTACCCCAATTCCCACTGCCAAAGACTACTACTTTCAACTTTTTTCCTGTTTCTTCCAGCATTTATCTCCATGTCACTAGATAACATGTTTACACTGATATATCCTAATATTTCATTTTAGATATTGTCTAGTGAATTACAAATCAATTAAGATCTAGTTCTACTACATATAACTGAGACCTGCATATGATGGCATACGTATATATAATCTATATAAAACAAATGTATTAGTAACTAGTCCAAGATAGCTGACAAGATAGCTTTATAATGTTTTCAGGGCCCCAGATCCTTCCAACACTCTGGTCTATCAGCTTTGGCGTGTATAATTAAACTATTTAGAAATAAAAGATAATGAAAACACTATATATCAAAGTACTAAGAGGAAAACTTAGACCCTAAATGCATTTATTTTAAAAAATGAATATTTTGAATGTCATGATCAAAAGAAAGGTACAAATGACAAAAAACAATGAATGCTCAGAAGCAAGGCTTCTATCGTAGCAGCAATGAACATGTCCAATGCCTAGATCTTGGCTTCTAAACACCATACTCCAATCAAAGAAATCAGAACATCTGGGAAAACCAGTTGATTCCAGAGCTAGGGCAGGAAGAATTCAGGATGAGTTTAGAATATTTTATGGTGTCAGAAAGTAAAGTAGAGCTCAACAGAAGATTGGAGGCAGGTTAAAAGAGTACAGGTGCAACCTGAGAGCTCTCCTAATGTCCCAAACAGGAACAGTTGTGCAATAAAATAATGATAGTACTGGATTATAACCCACATAATTAAAGTAGTTCCACAGTGATATAAATAAATAACTGAATAGATAAATAAGTGGGAGAGAAGAGACAGTTCTTCCTCACAGCGAAACTCTAATTAATCAATGTAGAAGGGATGAGGGAATGAGAAAATCATCACTAAAAAAAGCACAATAATATCTGTCACAGGCAAACTCTACTGATAGTTTCCTTAAAAAATAGGTGAAAGGTTGAGGAGAAACAGAATACTTGGATAGTCTCAAAGTATCTACTATACTTATTAATTAAAAAGGTAAAAATAGTAACTTGGTAGTGGAGGAACCTGTTAAACAGATGACCGAGGTTATCATTCCCAGTAATAAGACATATTGGCATCATCATATATACACTGATGTAAAGCACTGAGAAGGGCAATCACTTTCATGGTATTTTTGCCAAAAATGATCTCAATATAATTATGATTAAAAATCAGATAAACCTCACTTGAAGGATATTTTATAAAATAACTAGTATTCTTTATGAGTCTCAAGATCATGAAAGACAAAGACGGAGGAACTGTCATAGATCAAAAAAAGACAAAGAATACAGAAATCTAACTGTAGTGCCAAATTCCAGATTGAATTCTGAAACAGAAAAAAGGATATTAGTAGAAAAAAATTATAATATTAAATAAAGTCTGTTAGTTAATGATATTATACCCGTGTTAACTTCTTAGTTTTTATAATTGTACTATAGTTATACAAAGCATTAACATTGGGGGAAGCTGGGTATATTTGAAAACTCTCTGTACTATTCTTGCAACTTTGTAAAAATCTAAACTTATTTCAAAATTAAAAGTTAAAAAAGAATAACATGTAAAAATATACAGCAAGTAATCTGTGTATGTCAAATGTATCTGTGGTATAACTTGTAGCATGAAAGAAAGGGTACATTTTATTATTACTTTGTATTTTTTTAAAACCTAGACAGTCTCATTATATGTGTGCAAACACATCTCAGGCTTATATGAAAAAATCTAGAAATACCAGAAAAAAATTAAGCTTATATAATACACTGCTGAATAAAACATATGTAATAAACATTTTAAAAAATAAGCCCACTCCAACCATTAAGATTCACTCAGTAAAGAACTGTCAGTTTGTGTTTTTATAAAACATTTTCCTTTTTATAACTAAAAAAGCACATTAAAACACTTTCCAAGGTCACTTCTTTAATATACGTATTCCTCCAAATGATTGTTACACATAAGCAGTATCTCAAGCCCTCTGACTATCCTTCCTGGGAAGTTTGGCCACTCTGCTAGTCCACTTTATTTTTTTCTAATCAAAATGTTATGATTAAAAATATCATGCCTGAAAAAGCATGAATGTTTGCTTTTACTGCATATATTATATTAACTTTAAGAAATAATTCACAAAATACTATAATACAGTATGTACTATGCTAGCACACAGTTTTCTCCAATGGTCATAATTCTGCACAGAATTTGAATACTACGTTGATGTAAGGACGTGATGTTGTTTAGTCAGAGGGTGTTCTTGAAAATAGTGAGGACTAACAGCATGTTCTAGTGGAAAGAGTCTTGTACTGGGAGTTAGATGAGTTGTATTATAACCCTCTTGCCAATGCAACCATGAGAACAAGCACATTTATTACCCTTATCTATTTCCCAGTTTTTCTAGTTAATTAAAATGGATCATGTGAGAACAAATGAGGGAAAAGTATTATATTCCCTTCTTAATTATTTTCATTTGGATTATCTATTAATATTATTCTTAATGAAAATATTCTAAAGGAAAATACTTGTTTTTTGGTTTTTGTTGTTTTTTTTTTTTTTTTAGTTGGAATTTCACTCTTAGCCCAGACTGGAGTGCAGTGGCATGCTCCCAGCCACCACAGCCTCAACCTGCTGGGCTCTGTGATCCTTCCACCTCAGCCTTCCAAGTAGCTGGAACTACAGGCATGCGCTACCACACAGGGCTAATTTTTTTTTTCTTGATTTATTGTAGAGACAAAGTCTCGCCAAGTTGCCCAGGTGGGTCTCGAACCCACCTTAGGCAATCCACTCACCTCAGCAATCCACTCACCTCAGCCTCCCAAAGTATTGGGATTACAGGCTGACCCACTGAGCCTGGCCAAGGAAAATACTTTAAAACTTCTTTTTAACTTCTCTCCACTGTATAATGAAACACTTTAGAAAACACAAGAAGAAAACTGTTCACACCATTGGGTATTTTTACCAACGGTAATCTACACTTCTTTTTGTCAAGCTGTAATCTACACTTCTTTTTGTCAAGCTCCTTGTTCTAAAGATTAATTTATTTTTAGTCTTTCCCTCAAACTGGTTTTGTAGCAAAGATGACAAGTGAAATTTCAAGGTCTGAAAAAATGAAGTGGGGGATTTTCAGGATTACATCCTACCAAGATCGGACAGGCAAAGGTATACAAATATCAAGGGGAAAACTAGAACTGCAACAAAGAAATCAGTCAAAACAAGGTAGTACTTCAGGAGTTCTCAAGAAGCAGATTTCAGAAATTGACACAGATTTCAGAAACTGCCAATTATGAGAAATGGCTTCTGTAACTGCTCCTTTGGAATTAACCACTACCTAAAGGCATTCAGAATATTAAATTTCCTCTTATGAAAGTAGGGAATAGGGGGTGAGTCCAATTATTATAGATAGATAAATCACTTAGGATTTAATAAAATCAGAAAGAACTCTTATTTTGCAGAGAAGTCATAAGCACTTTATGAAATACTAGAGGCAGAAACCAAACCACTTTCCCCATTATCAGGAGCCATGGTAACTTAAGAATGTCAACAAAGAAATGCAAAGGACCAGCAATATCACTAACATAATACAAGGATACAGAACCAACAATATTTAAAA